GATTCCATGAGGTCAATTCTTACTCTTATTTTCATTTCTCTTTAATATTATTATCTTAATCTCCCCCTAAATAAAATTCACTTATAACATTCACACATTAAATGATTAAAAGGGGTAGTAGTAGTTGCAGGACTGTAAAAAAAAGTAGTAGGAGTAATCTTCGTCCATTCAGCTTCAATTACACAAAATAGGGCCAGAAAAATATTGACAATTAGGTAAAAGTACGGGGCAATCTTGATTCTTGGCTGGATTGCATTTTTGCAATTTGTCTAATTAGGGGTATTGATTTGCAATTCAATCAATAAGGCGTGCTGAAAGAAGAAATATGATCTCACAATCTAATTAGCAATCCTAATAACCTTGGAAAGAATAAGCAATCAAAATATCAGCCCTCTTTGTTTAACTAAAAGCTAGACGCGGAATAATAGATGCAGATATGAAAGACGAAAGAATTGTAAAGCAACACAAAGAAAGAGTGCAGATATGAATCCCGCAATGATTGATTAAAAGGCTAAGGTGCAGTAGGGCTTTAGCTTAGTTGATAATGATCAGATGATATTTTTTCCTCAAAATTCTTGAAATAGGAAACTAATCAGATTGGATTTATATTTCTGAAGAGTGAACAACAAAGGCATAAGAAGCGGTTGTTTTTGGTGCTGCCTGCTCTTCACAATTTAAATACAATAGTTTTAAGAAAAGGTCATAAAGAAGAAGATAATACCTGATGGGTTAGGCGGAGTTGCACATTAGATGCACCATGACTGGTGAACGGGCGCAAACTTGTCAAAATGCGTCCAAAATTGAATCTGGAATGTTTCTTCTTCGTACTGGCTCATTCGTGCACAATGGGTTTGGCTAATTCTGAGGGTCGACCGATGGGTTCCGGAAGCTGCTCACCAGAATTGATGCTTGACGGGCCGGTTTCTTGAACTTCTCCGGTCGCATAGGGGAACAGGCGCCGGTTAAAGCATATGAAACGGCGGTTTTGGGTGACGTCTGATTTTCAAGGCCGAATGTGAAACGCTCTTGTAAACACTAAATCCACCTCAATGGCATGTCACCTCCATCTCACCTTCCACGTGTCACCCTCACAATGAAATAACCCTACTTTAATTTCTATTTTGTGAATGTATACTTGGTGACCAAAGTATATGAATACTCTAAGGCATAATGTGTAGTGAGTAGAAATAATCATTTTTTAAGTCTCTTATGTCATTTCTTTGAATTGTGGATTTCAGATAGATCATTTTTTAAGTCTCTTATGGCAGGGGGCATTCAAGTTTGGGTGCAATGAGATATTGAAAGTACTTACGTGCAGCAGATTATCAGAGGTTGAGGTTTCAATGCCGTTGGTCCATTTTCGTATCCCCCTCTTGTGACGAGTAACCTGCGATTCATTGGCAATAGCTTTGGAGTAACTCTTGTGACGAGTACCCCGCTTTAGCAATTTGAAAATGTTACGTAATGGTACTTTCAGCGTGTTCAAAATTAACTGTCACGTTAAGGAAGTTGTTTGGTAATTAGGAGTAGCTTTTAGAGCAAAAACTAAAACTTTCTCAAACATTTTACTTGGTGATGAACTAAAAACAATAACAACCAACGTTGTCTCACCATGTCCTTT